CCTCTGGGACCAAAAATATTTTTGGTCACAATGGTACAGCCTGCTCCACGTTTTACAAGCCCCAACAGTGCGAAACGTGTTCGTGGATGGTGGCCAAATATCAGGGAACAGGTTAAATCAATGTTTAGTTGATTTCTGTCCCACTAGATGGCGCTCTGCCATCTAGAAAGCACATGTGCTCCTGGTCAGGATATGCTTTCATTATTTTTAATATATATATATATATATGTCGTAAAAAAAGATGTATTTTAGGTACGTTACCAATTCATTCATGCAGTCGTGGATTGAATTGAAATGATAACTTTATATCCAAAATTGAATTTATTTTAATGATTATATTTTTAAGAACAAACAGTTTTCATACATACAATTCTATATGATATTCTAAGTATAAACAAAAAACAATATTGCGTTGTACTCCTTTTGTTAAGGATTTTAAAAAATTAACTCTGTGTTAATTCTATGATTATTTAAATTATAATTATATTAATGAATAATAAAAATATGATTTTTATTATGTCATATATATATATGTAGATGGAAAATTTGCCGGGAGGAAATTAATCCATAGAAGCAATGGGCGCTTCTCCCGTCAAAATAAACGTCAGCATCTGACGCCATCTATTGACCGTCGCCGCAACTAGTGGCCTCAGGTCGGTGATAAAGCCACAACACCAACTTTGGCAAACTGATAATGGCCTAATGGCCCTCGAAACCATGGTCTCTAGGTGGACGCTTATCAGTTTGCCAAAGTTGGTGTTGTGGCTTTGTCACCGACCCGAGGCCGCTAGTTGCGGCGACGGTCAATAGATGGCGTCAGATGCTGACGTTTATTTTGACAGGAGAAGTGCCCATTGCTTCTATATATATATATATATATGTGTGTGTGTGTGTGAGACAAAAGTGAAATTGTACTGGGACCAGGTGGATACATTAAGAGAAAGGAATCTCCTGATTATGTAACTAAAAGTTGTTGGATCGTTTTTGAAGACAACTCTCAGATTTCTAAAATTAAACTTTAAACATTTTCAGATAGAGAGAGAGAGAGAAACCTCGTATTTAAGGCAACAAAAGAATTATATAATTTACATACATCGTTCTAACAAGATTCAACTTGTGTAAAACAGACGACAATGAAAAAATAAACAAATTAATAATAGAGGGTAAGTTCCTATTTTTTACAAGCTTTCACATTCAAAGAATAATCATTTTCTTGCTTCAAAATTTACTGACAGCTTGCTGATGGAATATTTATTCTGACAGATGGTGCAAGCCATCAACATCAAGAGATTCCTTGCTACGTACCTATGTAAGGCAGGAAAGTGGGGTTGAGGCCGTAGCCAATGTGATAGGTGGCGTCGGAGACAGCTGCCTTCTTGATGAAGGGGTCCATGTATTGGGCCACGCAGCCAATGTTGGAGTCTGGACAGAGCTGTGAGCGGCGGGGCAGGCCATGCGCAGGACACCAACCCACCTATCATGATGGGGGTGCGCACCCTGAGCCAGCGGAAGACATTGGGACCCAGGTAGAGCACCAGACCCAGGGCGAGGAGGGTAATGAGGAAGGTCTTTCTGGTCCTGCAGCACGGCCTTCCACACGTCCTTACTCCGTGCTAGAGAACTACAGTACTACGGTGCTAGAGAGCTACTAGATACAGAGCTACGGTGCTACAGTCCTATGGTGATACAGAGCTAGGTTGATACAGTGCTACGGTGCTACAGAGCTTCGGGTCACTCTATGAATGTCTACATCAAGAACTTTGAGGACTCATGGAATTGGCGTAATCTTTACACAAGGGGATAAGAAACAACAACAACTTGGAGGATGTCCTAGACAATGAAATTCTCTGTGAGCTGTTTGAAAAGTATGGCCGTGTGTTGCCAGTACCTAAGGTGATGTAAGATCAAATTAAACAAGGCAACAGGTTTCTGAAGATGTGTTTATTTTCATTTTTTATTACAATCTCAAGTTTTACCTCCCTTTTACTGGAGTACAACATTCAATAATGAATAAACACAAATTGATAATTATATAAAAGGGCGTACCTGGATCTGTAAAGAAAAAAAAAAAAACATGATGTACAATAATTTGTAAATTAAATTCACTGTGCAATAAATTGATAAAGAGGGAGCAATCTCTTGAAATATTTTAAGAAAAAAAATTGTTTTTTTTTTCTTTACAGATCCAGGTACGCCCTTTTATATAATATTAATTGATGGAGATCGCCTTTTGACTCAAACAAATTAATAAGATCCAATTCAAATAAATAAATAGTGGGTGAAGTTTCTGTAACAGAGTTGTTACCATCTTCAGACAAAAGTACTGAATGAGAAAATATGTCACAGCATGTTCTTAAATAGTTACTGATAAGCCACAATTTAGATTATAGATATAATAAAATAAGATCTAATCCAAATAATTTAATGGTGTGTGACGTTTCACTTGATAATAGTACTATTTAAGAACTTGCTGTGATATTTTTTCTCATTTATTCTTTTGTCTGATGATGGTAACAACGCTGTTACAGAAATGTCACACACTATATATTTATTTGGATGTGGTCTTATTACCTTGTGTTTATAATCTATAATCAAAATTGTACCTTATCAATAAAAATGAATAATTATTATTGTTCTTTTTTAAACACAAGGTAATAAGACACCAAATCCAAATAAATAAATAGTGTGTGATGTTTCAGTAACAGTGTTGTTACCTTCTTCAGACAAAAGTACTGAATGAGAAATTTTACCACCCCATTCTCATTCAGTACTTTTGTCTGAAGATGGTAACAACACTGTTACTGAAACGTCACACACTATTTATTTAGATTTGGTCTTATTACCTTGTGTTTATAATCTATAATCCAAATTGTGCTTTATCATTTGTTCATTTTTATTTTTCTCCTGTTGAAGGGAGGTAAAACTTGAGATTACAATAAAAATGAAAAGAAATTCACATCTCGAGAAATCTGTTGTATCATTTAATTCACTTACAGGAATACAAGACAATAAGACCATATCCAAATAATTTATTAGTGTGTGACATTTCAGCAACAACATTGTCACCATCATCAGACAAAAGAATAAATGGATATGAATTTGATAAGGCACAATTTGAATTATAGATTATAAACACAAGGTAATAAGATCAAATCCAAATAAATAAATAGTGTGTGATTTTTCAGTAACATTGTTGTTACCATCTTCAGACAAAAGTACTGAATTCATCAGTATTATATCATTATATCATATCATTCAGTACTTTTGTCTGAAGATGGTAACAATGCTGTTACCGAAACGTCACACACTATTTATTTATTTGGATTTGGTCTTATTACCTTGTGTGGATATGAATTTGTCTGATGATGGTGACAATGTTGTAGCCGAAATGTCACATACTAATAAATTTGGATAATATATTTGGATAAGGTCTTATTTTCTTGTATTATAATCTATAATCCAAATTGTGCTTTTTCACTTACAGGAGATTGACATCTATTGCATTGGTACGGTGAAAATGGCAAGTACAAAGTTTTGTTAGCAATGAGGAGCCAGAAAATTCTGTTCAGGATCTAGTGGAATAAAATTCAACTAAACATTGATTTAGAATTGTCCCATAAAATTTGGCCAACCTATTTAATGATAAATCATGAAAATCCAACCATGAATGCCTTTCAAGCTGTTTGCCTTCATCAATGTGGTGCAGGGTGTACTACAACGACCAAAAATTTGGTCCTAGAGGTTTCCTGAGAAATCAAGAAATGGGTATTTAAAGCCAAACTTGCCTAAATAGGTTTAAAATGTGAAAAACACAAGGTAATAAGACCAAATCCAAATAAATAAATAATGTGTGACGTTTCGGTAATAGCGTTGTTACCATCTTCAGACAAAAGTACTGAATGAGAAATTTTACCACAGCATGTTTTTAAATAGTTCCTGTTATCAAGATGTAAAAAGATGCTGTGGTAAAATTTCTCATTCAGTACTTTTGTCTGAAGATGCTATCAACGCTGTTACCGAAACGTCACACACTATTTATTTATTTGGATTTGGTCTTATTACCTTGTGTTTATAATCTACTAGCCGAATGACCCGGGCAACGCCCGGGTTTTACCCGATTAAATGTTTTATTAAAATACTATTCTTTACAATTATAAATTGGCGTCGTGGATGGCACTCTTTTGAAACGTCCCGCTTCAATCTTTGTGTGTTTTTAAAATACAAAAATAAAAATGTAAATTTTCACAACGATATTTGAAAATTGTATTATTTAGATTTTTTGTATGAATATATTTAAATCTGATATATACATAAAATGATATGATAATGATAGCAAGTGATTTCTTGTTCCTACCCTGTCATTACGTCACTCAAGGTCACCGTCGCACCACATGGTGGCGCAGCAAACGGTGACAGAACGCATGACGCTGATAACTGTATATAGAATAATCCAAATTGTGCCTTATCAAAATGTGAAAAAATAAGATAAAAGGTCAGGTGTTGATACTAAAAACAAAATTGGCATATCCTGACTGCTTATGCGAGATTTTTTTTTACTTATCCTTTTATTAGTCTAAATTAGATCTTGGAGGTCGTGCTCATAAAGAAGTTCAAGTTCTTGGTTCTCTGTACAGGGATCCTTTGTCCTTTCCAATACAATTTAGTATATGTTGGGGAGTGGCCTCTTCGGCTTTACACCTAGTGCACATGGGGAAGCTTTTGGCTCCCTCTTTATAGACTAGAGGGAGCAGGTGACCAGATATGTTTTTTTTTTGCTTATCCCTAGTACACATGGTACTGGCCATGATAATCATGGTGGGTAGTTAGCGACTGCTTTTTACTGTAAGTACACCACATGTCTACACATGTGAAAAGCAGTTCGACTTTGCACTTACAAATGTGCCAGAGCCTAGTTTGGTTACTTGCACTCGCTGGTGGGGTTGGACTTTTGCAAGAATAGGGGGCCATTGGAGCATTTTTTTTTTTTAAACAGAAAAAAGTGTCTAATGCGGGAATCGAACCCGGGTCATAGTGGTCGAAAACCAAACGGTTTAACCAGCCGACCCCACCAGATACGTGAGATTTTTAAATGGCAGAGCGCCATCTATTGGATTTATTTTCATTCCAACTAAATGTTGGTATCATAATTGGTTATTCTAATAGGTTGTTGCTTAATGGTGCCTTTATATTGAAGTAATATGTCTAAGGTCCCAGTACCATCAAAGGCCTTACAAGAGATTAGGTTGTACAGTAGTTAGCCATGTTATTAATTATCAAACAATTATGGAAATACTTACAATCCATCTTTCAGCCGCAGAAACTTCCTAACAAGATCAGCAAGATTAAAGGCCATGGGAGCTGCACAAATATTCACTGATTGAGTATATAGAATGTTGTTATGGTTGATCTTTTGGTTACAAATTAAAGTAATGATACGTATTATTATGATTTTATAATGATTTGGCATGAAAAGCTATATTTGAGTATGAAAAATATATGCATTTTCTGCTTATTTATTTGAAAAATTGAATAATAATAATTATTAAATTATAATTTTTCATAAATAATTATAGCTTTATATATACCAAATAAAAACGTCGTATGATGTGATTTTATTTAACAGTTTGTGGTTATTTTTTAAAAGAGTATTTTATAATTTGTTTGGTATGCAATTATCGTGTTTTATAGAATCTTTGAAAAATTAAGGGAAAAAGAATAAATTTGTAATTCTAAGTTTCAAGTTTCAAGGTTTGTATTCAAAAATGTCGTTTCTGCGTTGACAAAATTATAATTTTATGTGGTAAAATTCATGCGGTACCTTTAAATTTCGGTGATGTGTTTTGGAGACAATATTTTAAAATAAGTTTTATACCTATAATTATGTCGGGCACTTGTGAGAATCATAAATATTCAGTATATTCTCTATTTATTATAGAAAAAAGAATATTTATATTTTAAAATAACTAAAAATGTGAGAGTTTTATTGAGTCTATGTTTATTTGGGTAGACATGTTAACTGTAAATAATAGGGTAGCACTAAATTTATAAATATAAATATATATTTTCAAATAATAAAAATATTTATTTTTGCTTTTAAAATATTCATTAAAATTATTAAAAAATAAATTTTAACCTTAAATATTTATAACAAATATTTTTTCAATTGCGTTATATTCAAAACAAGAATGGCGTCAGGAGAAAGAGCATTTGCTCAAAAATTAAATAAGTTAGTTAATAAAAACTATTAATTATTCTAATATTATATTAAATATACCTTCGAATATTATTCGGAAATTACTTTATGTGATAGCCGATAGTGGTTTTTAGGATCGGTTTAATAAAAATGCTGTTTTTAAATGTCCATTTAGGAAGTTAACGCCCGCAAATAAAGTTAATTATCTATAATTTAATTTATATAATCTCTGAAAGAAAACACCGAATCATACTTGCTTAATTTTAAATTCTTGAACACCTTTTTATAAATATATTTATTGAAATTTGAAAACTTTTTCGCATTCAAATTGCGAAATATATATATTATAAAAATTAATATTTATAAATTTAGATACCTTTAAATATTTTTAAAACACGATTAAAAAGTTTGTCAAATGTTTGTTTGCAGACAACCAAATGCAGATGTCAGACGTCATGTGTCCGGAGTCAAAGATATTTCAAGAGTTAATGCCACCAATTCACCTCATACATCGGTAATTATATATTTCATTTCTGTTTCAAAAAGTTGCCATTAATCATGAATAATATTTGTGATATATGTGGGAAGGCACATATTACTTATAACATATGATAAAGATATTTGTGTGATGATAACATTTATGTGTGTCGTCTGATGACATAAAGATTAAAACAACAGAATATGAGAATTATTGTAGAATCCAAATGCATTGTCTTGATATGACCCACTTATGGATTCTAGCCGGGTTTGTACAACTGTCATAATAGATTTTCACCCAACACTGGTTTCAAACTGCTGTCAAAATTCCAATCAGAAATATTCAGTTTAGAATCTAAATTCTTTTACCTCAAACATTAACACACCATCTTTTATAAGAAATTGAAAACATTTTTGACACATATGTTTCATTTTTTTTTTTTTGCTTATCCCTAGTACACATGGTACAGGCCATGATAATCATGGTGGGTAGAAGTAGGCGACTGCTTTTTACTGTAAGTGCACCACATGTCTACACATGTGAAAAGCAGTTCGACTTTGCACTTACAAATGTGCCAGAGCCCCGTTTGGTTACTTACACTCGCTGGTGGGGTTGGACTTTTGCAAGAATCGAGGGCCATTGTAGCATTTTTTTTAATAAAAAAGAAAGTGTACTATGCGGGAATCGAACCCGGGTCGTTGAGGTCGAAAACCAACAGTTTAGACCAGAGGTGGCGAACGTGCGGCCTTAAGGCCGCATGTGGCCTTTTCTTGCCCAAGTTGTGGCCTTTTCTTAAATTCAAAACTATAATTTTTGTTTCGCAGTTTTCAATTACTTTCATTATTTTATTGAAAATATCTAATATGAATGTCATATATTATATAATATATAGATGCGGTCTTCTCAAAAATGGTAAAATGAAAATTGGCCTTCTAATATAAAAAGGTTCGCCACCCCTGGTTTAGACCATCCTTCCACCTATGTATGTTTCTTTTTTTAAATAAAATAATTTTCTATTTTTTAAATTTATCATTTCATTAATGGCAGTATTATTTTATTTTAAAAAAGAATCTTCTGCATCAAGAATAGTTTCAATTTATTATTTATTTATATATCCCAACAATGGCTTATTTTACCTAAAAAAATAATAACAATAAACAAAAGTATTTTAATAAAAGAAAACAAGACCTAATCCAAATAATTTATTAGTGTGTGACGTTTCGGCAACAACATTGTCACCATCATCAGACAAAAGTATTTTAATTGTTGTAAAAATCAAAATCCGAAACTATTTTAAAGGTGATAAAGCACAATTTGGATTATAGATTATAATAAAAGAAAATAAGACCTAATCCAAATAATTTGGAATTCATTTTCTTCAGCTCATAGGATCATTTTATTCTTTTGTCTGATGATGGTGACAATGTTGTTGCCGTCACACACTAATAAATTATTTGGATTAGGTCTTATTTTCCTTTTTTTATATTTTAAAGGTATAAGATTCTTTTTGAAATTAAACAATTTCTACTGCCCTTACTGCAATGGAAAAATTAATGGGAGGGCCTGGCTCATCAGTGGTGAACCCTCCCAGCGGTAGATTAAACTGGTGAAACCGCTGGGAGGGTTCACCACTGATGAGCCAGGCCCTCCCATTAATTTTTCCATTGCAGTAAGGGAAGTAGAAATTGTTTAATTTCAAAAAGAATCTTACGCCTTTAAAATAGTTTTGGATTTTGATAACAGGCGTGCTAATGTTGTCAAAATGTAAATACACAGGATAATTAGTGTTTTAAAAAGCTTTTAATGTTTTGGCTTTATTAATGGCAAGCACCAATCCTCATATGGGGTCGGTGGAAGGCTGGTTAAACCGTTTTGGTTTCGACCACTACGACCTGGGTTCGATTTCTCGCATTGGACTCTTTTTTCTGTTTAAAAAAAAAATGCTCCAATGGCCCCCGATTCTTGCAAAAGTCCAACCCCACCAACGAGTGCAAGTAACCAAACGGGGCTCTGGCACATTTTTAAGTGCAAAGTCGAACTGCTTTCACATGTGTAGACATGTGGTGAACTTACAGTAAAAGCAGTCGCCTACTTCTACCCACCATGATTATCATGGCCTGTACCACGTGTACTAGGGATAAGCAAAAAAAAACAATCCTCATTTATAAAATACCAGAGAGGTAATGAGGGATATGTTAACAGATTATCAAAATATAAATATTTATAATCTGTAAAGGAAATAAATATTTTATTAAATGTGAAAAAATAATGAAAAATAAATAAAAAAAGGTCAGGTGTTGATATTAAAAACAAATTACCACTGGTATGAGGGACCTGGAGACTCAATCACAGCTTTCTAGAAATGAAGCCACAAAAATTGCAAGATTAAAGACCGGACATACTAGTCCCATTATAAACACAAGGTAATAAGACCAAATAAATAAATAGTGTGTGACGTTTCGGTAAGAGCGTTGTTACCATCTTCAGGCAAAAGGATTTAATATGTTTTAAAAATAAATAAATATAAAATGTTCATTCATATAAAGATTTTTTTTAGTTTTAACATATAAAAAAAAAACAAAGCAAATCTCTGGTAAGAGGACACCTCTCCCTAAAGGACACTTTGACTCTGTAATGATGTTGTCCTCTACATGGAGGTAGTTCTACTGTATTTAGAATTTCAAATGGAAGTTAATTTTTTTTTTTATTATTGAGAGGTGTATGGTCTTGTTGGGGGTATATATCACAGATTCCTTTCTTTTTTCTTATCCTAAAACTGTTATGCACGACTCCATATAGGTTATATGCCAGTTACGCGCTGGTTTTATCCAGTATTTCCCCAAGGTCACCTACAGAGAGGTGTAACTTTGACCTGGTATTAAATGGCCACCTCTAACATGAGGAACCTTGTGCAGCCGCTCCTAACATGGAGAACTGCTGATTATCCTGTAACCCAAGGATAGGAGCCCTTACAGGGTGCTATCAGTCGGGCCAACTGAAACCTGGTTTTTTTTAACAAGCTTGTTACTGATCCCTCTCCTCCTTTTACATCCGGGCTTCTTGGGACCGGCAAAGGCGGAGTTTACTTCTTCTTCTTCTTTCTTATCTCCACTCAATCACACTAAGGTATCAAGCTTGTAAAGCTTGAGATTTTTGATGGTGTTAATCGGAGTTTACTGAAGTCCAGAACTGTACCTCCGATGTTGTTTACTGGAACTTGTCAGATTATATGGAAGCTTTCCCCAAGTACAGTAGCTCCATGACGTCCTCAGTGGTCTCTGGAGTGACAAAGTGGCTGATGTGGTCACAGGGAGAATGGTGAACACCCAGGTGTCGTACAACTCTGGTGTGTGGTGACACAAGAACCTGGTACAACTCTCTCTGACATTTGACAATTAAAACA